TAACTTAGTAGGGGTTAACTTAGTAGGGTTTTAACTTAGTAGGGTTAACCTTAGTAAGGGTTAACTTAGTAGGGTTTTAACTTAGTAGGGTTAACCTTAGTAAGGGTTTAACTTAGTAGGGGTTTAACTTAGTAAGGGGTTAACTTAATAAGGATTAAGTCACTAATCTTTGATGTTGTGTGTTAGGTTCGCACCTGTTGTTGTTGTTGCTGTTGCTGCTGCTGCTGCAGTTGTTGGGAACCTTGGAATGGTGCAGCTGCAAATGTAGACATGGGTTTCATGAGACCTCCCTCTTGTTGGGCCTGTGCACGCTCAGCTTTACGAAGTTTGACGACGTACTCATGTACCTCGTCTTTTCGCCCCAGGTCCGTGCAGATGTGGACCAGGTACCGCAGGCATTCCAGGTTCTCGGGATGGTTTCGATGGATGTCTTTGTACTACAACCACAGACACATGAAAGCAATCGCCGCCACCAATTACATATATCATAAGGGAAAAGAAATCATGTTTAGTTTGATATTGTTCGTTAAACCGCCAGTACTCGTTGTTGTTGATTTGTTGTTGTTGACAACTCAATCAGCATTACGAGGAGGATGAGGGCAGAACTGGGCAAAGTGACCCGGTTCGCCACAGTTAACATAGCACGACTCAACAAGGCAACAATATAACCATGCATGAAGGAGTAGGTGTGTTGCCAAAGGTAAGCCGTGTTCGGGATAGATCCTAAGAGGTCAGTTCCTGTCCACCGGCATTACGGAGGTCAGCACTCCCACCAGCAGAATCTTCAGACAAATCCTGAACGCAGTCGTCTGCCACTTGTTTGTCGAAGGCTAGCGCAACCCTTTTACTTATAATATCTTCCTTGGCTTGATCCAACGTAGGGTAAGTAACCCCTTCTTTGCTACGCAGAATCCTCACCGCATCCATCTTCAATGGTCTCGGTAATTGGCCCAGCTATCGGCTGCGGGAAAAAAATAGAGTAGAAACGTTTCTAGTCGGATGGATTTGGGCACTCCTGTAGTGGCCCGTACGTTTCTTAAAATTGTGGTTTAAACTTTAAACGTTTTCCATTCGAGAGTTGCAGGGCAGCAGCACATCCAGAGGTAACCAGACTTGAGTAGGGGCAGACGGACGCGCCTCACTCCGTGTGGGGAACTAAGTAAAATTGGATAAGAATCTACCAGAGTGGACCGGGTCCACTTGCCCGGGCGGGCCAAAAAAAAAAAAAAGAAAAAAAAAAGCTAGTTTTTAATTGAAAATTTTATTTTGAATTTGATAAAGAATTTCGATGTGACCCTGAGGCAAAAGTTGTTCAGTTTTTTTTTTGGCTGGGACCTTCCGTAGTCCTTGCACGGCCGGGCCGCCCGGGAAAATAGGGTGACCTGGGCGGCCCGGCTGGTAACCTAG